AGGGGCTCCTGGGTTCCAGTCCCGGCTGGGGGGGGGGGGGGGGGGGTCTCAGGACTCCGGGGTTCCTCCCTTGGCTTTGCCCCAGACGGGCATGGGGGGGGGGTGACCCCAGGGGACCTCCTTGCCCCGGGCCCCCCGGCGGCAGGATGCAGGAGGGGCCAGGCTCGTTCCCCTCCTTGAGCAGAGACAGGCCAAACCCCCGGCCAGCTGGGGAGCATCGGTCTGCCAGGCCCTTGGCTCGCCCCCCACCCCCAGCCAGCGCTTATTGCAAAGGGGGGTGGGCCCGGCCCAGCCCCACCACGGGAGCGGGTGCTGGGGTCTCTCCTCTGGTTGCATTTGGCTCTGGCAGGTTTCAAAAGCAACGTGGCAGCACGGCCGGGAATGATGTAAACCCCAGAGATCCAGGCCCCCCAGCCCCAGGCTCGGGAGGTGGATGCAGGTGAGATCAGAGCCCCCCTGTGCCGGACGCACAGACCCCAGGGGACAGCAGGGCCCAGAGCGAGAGGCAGCCCCTGCCCAGGGCACTTACACCGAGATGCGGCAGGCGGAACGGGCAGCGCCAGCCACCATACCAGGGCCAGCTGGCCAAGGGGCTGGGAAATCCGGCACTGAGCCCAGAACACGCGTCTCCCAGCCTCGGGCTCTGCGCTACTGACATTGCAAACTCCTGGGGCAGGGAAGGGGTCGCGCTGGGGCCGGGCAGTGCCAGGCCAGGCCCTTCTCGCAGCTGGGCCTGGGGTTCAGGCCGACCGGACTCCTGCGGGCGGGATCCTGCCTTCCCCGCACAGCGGGGCGCTCGTGTGCTACCGACAGCACGCGCCCCCCTCCCTGGGGCACTACCCTGGCCGGGCCAGCTCCGAGCAGGGCTAGCGCTGGGGGGTTTGCCCAGGATGAGCGACGCGCAGGGGCCGGCTCTGCCAAGGCTGCAGGGGGAAGTTGGGTACAAACCAAATCCGGCCTCGGGGGGCTTTGTGCTGGCAGCTCCCAGGCCCAGTGCCCAACAGCGAGGGGCCAGGCCCGATTTGCTGTTACACTTGGGCCCTGGCAGTACAGGGAGCTGGTGTAGGGACCTGGCAGTGCAGGGAGCTGGTGTAGGGACCTGGCGGGAGGGCCCGGGGGGGGGGACTGGAAGCGCAGGCCCAGGACTGCTCTAACCCACCTGGGGGGCCAGCCCCACACTCCCGGCGGCTTCCCCTAGAGAAGCTCAGAATCAAGCCCAAGGCGGTTTCCTGGCAGCAAGTTACCCAGGTGATCCCGGGGAGAAAGGAGCCTCATGCCTGCCCTGGGCTTGGTGCCAAGCTCTGTTCCCCGGGGAGCTCCAGGGACGCTGCACACGGAGCCAGGGGCTCGGGGCGTCTATGAGCAACAGCCCCAGTAATCCCAGTAAAACAGGCCCCCGCCCTTCACCACCGCTCTCGGGGCAGAGAACATCCACTGGGACATCAGACAGGACTGAACTGGCCAAGCGTCTATCCCCTCCCCCGCCACTCCTGGGGGTAGGAAGAACTGCCCCAGGGGCAGGTCAGCCCAGGCTGCCCACAGCAGGGTCTCGGGAGCAGCTGAGCTGGGGGAGGCCGGATACCGGGCAAGATGGGCCTGGCTAGGAGCAGCCTGGCAATTCCTGCTTTAACAGAGATCTGTCTCCAGGCCAAATTGCAGCCTCCACTGTTGCTATCCCTGGAATTGTAAAGGTGGCAGATTAGGGACCCTCACCGCTGTCCCCCTGCGATCCCCCTTTCTCTTCTCCTTCAAACCTGCTCCCCCAACCCTCTCCCCAGCATTCCTGGGACCCCCACAGGCCAGGGACCCGGTCACAAACCCTGACCCCAGCAAACTGCAGGCCCGTACGCTGGCGGGGCGACTCGCCCCGGATCCATGTGCAGGATCAGGACCTTGCTCTATTTGAGCCAAGCCGGCTCGGATCGGTCGTGGTGCCAGCACAGAGGTGGGGTTGCCCTGCCCCCCGCTGGCATGGGTGGGCACCCAACCTTAGGAGAAAGCCTTTGTCAGCCAGCGCAGGATACAATCCCGAGCGCGCTGCGTGGGCTGGACCGTGGGCGAGCCAGCTAGGCCGTGAAACGGGAGAGAAGAAACGGCAGCTCAGGGAGCTCCAGGAAGAAGGCAGCTGGTGTCAGAGGCAGCGCAGCAGGGCTGGGGGCAAGAGGCCTCAGTCCCTCCCCCCGGGTGCTGACAGCCTCACCTGGCAGCCGAGGGGGATCCTGGCCCTCCAACGCGTACCTGCAGCAGGCTCTCCGGCATCACTCGGGGTCCGGCGCTGCCCTGGGAGATGCAGCCGCAGCCTGAGAGCTCGTGGCCCTATTCCCCCCACGGGCTGGGTTTTGAGATTAAACCAGCGGGGTTCACTTTCTGAGTGTGTGCCCCCGTCTCACAGGTCAGGTGAACCCCCCCTCTCCAAAACACCCCTCCCCAGCTGCTGTTCCCACTCGAGCGGAGAAAGCCTGAGAACTCGGAGTCCTGGGCAGGGGGCGTCCCAGGGTTAGCCCCGGGTGCTGGAGGGAGAAGGGGGTAAGAACCTAGACAGGAGGGAGATTTCCACACGACCCAGACTCAGCCCAGGATCTCAGGAGCTGGTCCCGGGGTCCGGGCCTGCACTCAGAACTCGCCTCGCTCCAGCGGCTAGTGCTAAATGGGAACGCGGGCAGGGAGCGCCCTGGCTTACACACGCAGCAGGCAGGGCACTGGATTCTACACCTGACTCTGCCACCAAGCTTCCAGGTGACCTTGGGCAAGTCACTTCCCCTCCTGCCCCGTGTCTATTTATATCAAGAAACCCGCAGGGCAGAGACTGTCTGTGCAGCCCCCGGCCCAACGGGGCACGAATGTGGGTTGAGGCCAGATGTTAGCACAGTACCCTGCCCCAGCTGTTTGCAACCCAAGCGCTGGGCCCCACCCACCTTTTCTGGTGGCTTTAAAAGATTTTTACAAACCTGGCTAGGAGCAGAGATGCGGAATTTCTTAGAAACCCCGATCACACGAAAGCCAGGAAGAGACACTGACCGGCCCAGTCTCCCTGTCTGCAGCTGGTGCCTTGAGGGCAAACCCCAAAGCGCCGCAGTGATGAGAAGTGAGATTTTGTACAGACCTTGCAGTTCCAGTAAGAAAGGCCAGTTTAAACTCCCTTACCGAAGGGAATGGGACGTTCAACTGGGACTCGGGAGTGCTCAGGGCTATTCCAGGCTCTACCTCTGACTCCTGGGCAAGTCACTTGGACTTTGCCTCAGTTTTCTCATCCTTGAAATGGGAATAATGACACTGCCCTCTGTGAAGTGCTTTGAGGCCAGCGGATGACAGCCTATAGTACAGCTATTAAATGGGGTTTCTATCTCTGTCCCTGTGAAGGGAATCTCTCCTCCCTTCACAACACACAAACATCACACATTTAAAACATTAAAAACCTAACATGTTGCAGAAACCCTAGGAGTATTTGGGGTCTTTTAAATGCTGGGAGGGGCTTTATGCTCAGGTTTTGAAAGCCTGATGCACCTACGATTATTTTTGTGATTAGACAGAAGAGTGAAAAATAATTGCAAAAAACATCCGCACTTAAAAACAACTTATTTAGCAGTGCCCTTGGTGACAGCTTGATTCCCCTAGCCGCTCCCAAGCCATTTGTATTGAACAGTGCTCTCATCGTCATGTTCCTGGGCACTGGAGAGCCCACAGGGTCTTTATTAAGAGACGTACGTTTATTTCCAATTTCTCAGGATTCCCCTCAAGCCAATTTTTCTATTGCAGCAAAGTGCACGTAGCTGCAACTTGTAACCTACGCCAGAGACAGCGACATCTGTGCAGCCCCCAGGGCTGGTTTAATGGCTTTTATTTATGACCAGAAAAACCAATCTGTATTAGAAACCAGGGGAAAACCCTTAACACTTTGGACTGGTTTTTTTATACAAAGATTTTGCACGTAAGGGGATCCCTCTGAAGAACGTCAAGGCCTTCAGCTGTTGACAATTCCACGGTCTGCTGTCTGCACAGAAGGCCAAACTGGGGCAAGCGCCAAATTCCAGCCACCGCATTGCTTCGAGCGGACAAGGTAGGAGTGCTGTACAAAAGCAGGTAACCTGTCCCCATTTTAACTGGTAGGGAAGCAGGAGCCAAGTGCCTCGGTTGAGGCCCCACTGAGTCAGGGGGAAGCAGGGAATAGAACCCAGGAGCCCAAGCAGTACTAGACACATTGCCTCTCAAATGGGTCCCTCAGCGCAGGCCCGAAATCCCTTT